CACACACACACACACACACACACACACACACACACACACACACACACACACACACACACACACACACACACACACAATCGAGATCGTGAGAGATTTAGAGCGATAGACAATCAATATCAATATTAAACAAATCTACATCTATTGTGACAAGACTTGTCATTAATATCAAAATATAAAATACATCAGATAGAATGGGGATAATTTTACTTAACTCTTATCCACAACTGCACAACATTCTGGGTAATGTAGGCAGAGGGAAGGCTTTAGCCATTTGACCTCTCATGGCCCAAGTAAGCAAAGTTGGTGGAATCAACTAATTCACTGACTCTTTGGTAAGCTAGCAAAATCCTGTTGAGTAACGTGCAGTAGCAGTTTAATGTTTCTCCACCATGCATAACTGCTTAAACATAAAAAAGAACAACATGGAGTGAAAGGAAAAAATGAGGGCAACCGCTCGAGAGGAAATTGTGGATAATAGGTCATGTCGCCAGTTTGGCAGTATTAAACAGCCTTTTTTCTACTGGCCTTTATTACCTCCGCCAAAGGGAGGAGGTAATGCTTTCGATCACGTATGTCTGTCTGCCTGTCTGTCGTTCTGTCAGTGGACAAAATCACTCAAAAACCTGTGGCCGGATTGTCATGACATTTTTATCACATGTGGGTACTGGCTCAAGGAACACACCATTAAATTTTGATGTTCTGGATCACAATGTGGATACTGGATTTTTTTTTTCTTTTAATTTAAGTGAATCAGTAGGGCCATGCAGTGTTCATTACGTCACATGCATGCCTGTATGAAACAGGAAGTACAAGTCGCAAACTTGCTGGGACTACACATCCCAGTATATCTACTATCACGAAAGTTGTGATTATTCTGTTATCAACTACTTCTGGCGATGTTACATGCTGTCTGGAGACGTACAAAAAGAAATGCGATTCTCTTCACGTTACGGGAATAACAGGACACCGACAGCTGGAGGAGGGTCCTGCTGCAGCCGAGCCGAAGCTGGACTGCCCGCGGGAACAGTTGATCAACCTTGTGAGGTACCCCTCCACGTAAGAAATTTATAGCGTGATTGCTCTGAAGTTCGAGGGAGTGTTTCTGCTGAAAGCGCTCATACGCTGTATTTTGCTTCAATCACTTGCTTAAAAAAAATCAATCAATCTATAAAAAACTAACAAAACCCCACTCGTTCATGAGCCAACTGTACCAGGAAGCACTTTATAAAGACAGTCAAACCATTACAAACCCATAAAAGGAGATAAAACAGACATTTAACACAGTGGAATGTGACTGATGAAAACTTAGGAGCTTAATCCGAGACCAGTTTGATGATGAATAACGTCGGGTGACGAGTCTGACTTTTTTTTTCCACATTGAACTCCATCGGGAAGAAATCCCATGCATACTGCCTGCTTAAATGTTCGCTACGTCAGAACTTATTCGGCATATGTGTTTCCATCTATGCTTTTGCGCATTAACTCCATGGACTATTTCGCGGATACCGTTTAGTGCCGCCTACCTGAAGTGGCGCGCAATGGTTTGTGGGATTGTTTGGGGCAAACCCAATAAAAGTAAACGATGGGACAGGTTATAAATGTCTAAAGTTTTGATTGTTACGTGTATTAAAATGTTTATTTTGGTTCATGAGGTACCAGCTTCTAATCAGAAAAAGGACAAACTTGTCCAGAACCTTTACCTGCTCAAATGTTGGAATTATTGCCTATAATAACAAAGTGGACATGCAAAATAGAGGTAAGGTTATACTGTTGTGCACTAATATAATGTAATAATTACTATAGTATGGCATTATATTAAATCTGTTTTTGCCAGAGAAAATCTCAGTATACAGTGATCATATTAACAATGCTGAGCAGTAGGGCTGGATGATAAACATATAATCTATATATAATCTTGAGGCAGACTGACCTATGATTTATTAAACATTGAGTATGAAATGTCCTCCTTGGCCACACATCAAATTCGGCTTAAATATTAATTCAAATATGTGTTTTTGTTTTAACGGTGGTAAATGCATTTATTATTGTGATCTGTAGCTTTCTGTATGGTGTATGTTATTGTTAATAAATAAACCATATAGAGATGTGGTCAAGTTTTAAGATAGTTCATACCTATACTTGTAATATTAAGTGGTTAAAATGATCTGTAGTCAGGAAATATGATACGCAGCCCAGATCGATGTAAACTACGTCAACGTATTTAGTGCAAGATCTACTAACTAGACAGAGTAGCGACAATCTTGTGTTTTCATTATTCTATATATTTAAACTTATTTTCATGTATCTGTGATCATTGTTGCACATATACACAAGTAAAACACCGCACAGCGATCTCCACGACCCATTTTCACAGTCATTTAATTCACACACCAGCACCGGATGCCTCCAACCTGGACCATAATGCTTTGCGTTAGGCAAAGATGGCAGTATCCGCGAAATAGTCCATTGCAGGATGGGGGAAAATGGGCTTGGCTGAGGTTTGCACTCTCCGAGTGCTTCTAGTTTCAAATAACAAAAAAATAAAAATAAAAATAAAAATAAAATAAAATAATTAAAAAAATGGATACTGACTGATATGAAATGATTGAAATAAATCATGATACAATTTTCAGCCATAATACCCAGCCCTAGTCCAAAAGTCTTTTTCAAATTTCTTTTAAAATCACAGCTGCAGTTGTTGATTTGCTATATTATCCTTGACATAGTTTCTATAGTTTCTAACTTCAGTTGTACAGTATAAAAAGAGAGGGGAAATCACAAAAATAATGCAACGTCTTGTCTGGGTGACAGAACTTTCATTTCAGTGACTGATCTTTGTACTTTCCTCACTAATGTTAGATTGACATGCCAGCATCCACTAGGGGTGTAAGAAAATATTGATACACTGAAATATCGTGACATTTCATTTCCCGATACTGTATCGATATTCTAAAGCCGTTTCGATTTTTTTATTAAGGTTTAAAATGTCAACTTTCCTGCCAGCCGTTCATTTTTGTTGTAGTTCAGCCTCTGACCACTAGTTGGCAGCAGTGAGCCAGCCATTTGGCTCCTCTACCTCTTGAGGTAGAGACTATTGGCTGTGTCCAAAACGACAGGCCGGGTCCTCCGGAGGACCCAGACTTCCCGGTCGCGGCGGGCCGGGTCCTTGGTAGACCGGGAAGACCGGAAAAAAAGAGGCTGTGAATTTGGACGGTCTAGCCTCCCCTCCTTACCCCGGCGTACGTCATGTCACCTAGCAACTGTGACGACGCTAAACAAGCAAACTTAAATCAAACCTAGAAAAATATCAATACATTAGCATTATTAATATCACTAAACTATAAAATTAACTTAAAGGTATCATTTGAAGACTGGGATGGACTTGCGACCTGTCCAGGGTGTACCCCGCCCCTCGCACTGTGACTGCTGGATATGGGCACCAGTGTCCCACGCAACCCTGAAAAGGAAGAAGCGTGTACAGAAAATGGATGGATGGATGGATGGATGGTATCATTTGAAGAACTAATTGACCAGCTGTAGGTTCATGTTTATTTCGCGTTTTTTATGACGAAAAAATAATATTTAAAAACATGTCTACACAAATGATAAATGTATTAGAATTACAACCGCTAATTTTTTTTAAGTTTTATATCACCATATTTTTATTTAAAATGTATTCTTTTCTCTCGCTTCGTCCGCCATTACTAGCATAAAAATCTCCGGTCGAGCCGCAATGCATTATGGGATACGCTGGACCGGGAAGGATCCATCGGACCTGTCCTTCGATTCGGGCCAAAGGAAGGACGTATTTGTCGGCCGCATCGGAGGAGTCTTCGGTTTTGGACGTCCTTCGTCGCGGGGCTGTGACGTATGCAGCCGACAAATTTGACCTT